CACAAAAACAAAAACCTACCCTTGAGATCTGAACAGTTCTTGAGTAATTCCACGCTTTGGGTTCGGGTACACGAATTACGAAGGAGAGTTGCGTTAAACTTGGGGGGCGTGCGCCATCAGGAAACTTGTACCGGTGGTGGCGTATTTCGCTTCTAAGGCAGTGGATTATGTTCCACGGCGCGACTGTGAGTTTGAGATCTTCAATCAAGTATTTCCCCTTTCATCTTCTCTATTTTTGTTATTGGAATCGACAGGTATTTTACCAAAAATTTCAACTTCATTGTCACTGTAATCTCCCCAAGACCCCAACATTTAGTCGATTTTTATTCAACTATAGTATGGTCTTTACTTGCATTGGCGGTCACATCAACATCATCAGTAGAGCTACTTCTGCAATATTAATTCTGTAATCACAGTTTAACCATTCAAATCTTCAGGTTTTAGTGTTTTACATACCCTTCTTGCTTATTCGAGGCAGACCAGGCAGTTGATTCTAAGGAAGGGTTGTGGAGTATCTGATTTCTCTTCAGTGACAACTAACCTGACCATTGTTCAGCAGCAGTTTCTATAGAAGAGTCTCTAATTTTCTTCAGTCACAATCAGATAATATAATACAATGAAAATATGTTTCAAACCAAAAGTTATACGGAGTATTACTTATATATCCAAGCATAATAAACTAAATACTGCAAATAAAATCACAAATATACAAATACATATTTATTAATAACTCTCGTCTCCATTTGTTTGCCCCATAACATTTTTATGATTCAAAATTTTAAGAAATTGTCCATAAATTGTCACTTATCTATAGGAAATAATAATTTTGTTGGATTCGTTTTAATTAAAGATGGTTGTGGATCGTGCTAGCTGCCTATGTGTACATTATGCCAAGCTCACGTGCTTTGGGGTTATATATACTTAATCTAAGAACCATGTGATGTGTCAAGCATGGTAGGAATTTTCAAAAGGCCGACCCATGTATGATTCAAGCCCACATGCCGAGTTGGGCTATGCTTGCGTGCTCAAGCCAAATCTTATTGATCTTAGTGTATTATGTCGTGCCAAATAGTGCCTTATTATTCTTTCCCCAACTAAAGGTGGTTTAGGCTCGACACACAGTAATGCATCATGCCATGCTTCTTTCGTGCTGGATCATGTTGTGTCTCAAACCAACTTGACCCAATGCCATCTTTAATTTCAATATATACTTTTAAATTATCAAATTTTGTATTCTTTACATATACCAATTGTAGACACCTAAAAATGTCTCCCCAAAACCAAACCCGATGATGAACAACCTTTCACCGCCATTATTGGTCGGGTTGAGTATTTAGTCTTTGGAGTGCTTAAATCCATGTTCTATCCAATACATTTCATAAACCAACCCATTTCCTAGCTCAGTTCCCTAAACCATAACTTGTTTTCCTCTTTTCGTGTCCACATCGCAAAACTGAGAGAAACTGATTTTTTTATCTTATAATTTAGATCCAATTATTATTTGTCTGGATAGGAATTGAAATAAGCTTTCCAACCATATATCATAATCCCAATTCCGATTTAAACGAAGAAGATATGAGCCAAACACTAAACTCGGCCCAAAATTGACACCCTTCTACTAAAACGGACATATCTTAAAATCTACAAATTATTTTGACCTGATTCTAATTGTATTGGAAAGTAAACTTAATAATATTTTCAATGATATATTATATGTCTTATTTTGAGTTACGAATCAAAAGTTATGATGATTTTAAAAACGGGTAAAAAACTGAAATTACCGCACACAATATAAAATCACCGTGTCACGGCGCCTGATGACGTGGCACAGTGCCTGGTGCCGTGACACAGTAATTTACATCAAAGATTTTTCGCGTGAAAATCCACCGTGGCACGGTACGTGCTGCCAATCTCCATTCTTGCCCATCTGGCTTCTCCAAAATCTAAACAACTAAAATCCAAGAACAAATGGCATCCCTTGGAACATCCTATTCTCTTTTACTTTTTGGAACATGTGGCTGAGAAGAAATTCTTAGTCTTTCAACAAAATCAACAAACAAGCCTCACGAATTTTTCACCAGGCACCAGTGCATATGGGCTGCTTCCGAGTGCTACTACTCCAAAAGTTGCACCACAGAAAGTCCAAAGCCCCTCCAAAGTGTCTATCCCCCTCCTCCTTTCCTTTTCCTCGAGATAAACCGTGACGCTTCTTTCATTTATTCTACTAAGGAAGCTGCAATAGCTACTGTTTGCAGGAACCACGCTGGTTTGTGGATTTAGGGAATAACTTGGAAAAGTTACTTACCTTCAAGCCATGAAGTGGAACTGAAAGCAATCCAGCTTAGCATGAGCCGGGTTAAGCAGAAATGGTGGAGAAGTTTCATCCTTACCTTTGATTCTAAGAGGGTTGTAGAGGAGATAAAGCCAGAGAATATTTTAGCTAATGTTCGTAAATTGTTAAACGAATGCAGGGACCTGCTAAGGGAGCTCTACCTTCTGGAATCGCGCTTTGAAGATCGCAGATTCAATGAAGTAGCTGACTTAGTTGCGAAAGATGCTTGGAAGCCATGAACTTCACATGTATTTTTCCCCAACCACCCTCAGCTTGTAGCGTATCTTTTAACAGAGAAAAATTAAATTATCTATTTATGTAAACTTAAACTCTGATTTTGCTGGTGATGTCCCAACCAATACTCTTCTTTTTGTAACTAACGCTTAAGTTGCTTCTTTCGGGTAACAAAAAACAAAAAAAACAAAAAAAAAAAAACCGCGGTGGTCTAAAAATAGAGTTAAGACAATAACAGACTAAGGCCTTGTTTGATTCACCTTAATTTTTCTGAACTGAAATTATTTTTACTGAACTGAACTTATTTTTACTGAACTGAACTTAATTTTACTGAACTGAAATTATTTTTACTGAACTTACATTATTTTTACTGAACTGAAATTATTTTTACTGATTTTCTATTATATTCTCTTTAAGAAAACTGAATTTTACTGAACTGAACTTATTTTTACTGAACTGAAATTATTTTTACTGAACTGAAATTAATTTTACTGAACTGAACTTATTTTTACTAAACTGAAATTATTTTTACTTAATATTATTTTTTTAAGGTGAATCGAACAGGGGCTAACTCACCTTTTAGGTACTCAACTTTTTTTCACCCTTTGGGTACTCTAACAAATTTTCACACCAACTAACTCACCTTTAACCATACATAATTAAAAACTAATTAAATTAAAATTAAAAAAAATAATCTAAAGCAGCCAAAAAAAGCCATGAATAGATCCTTGCAAAATAGAATGCAGATCCAGTTTCTTTAAGGCTAAATTTATCATCCACGATTTGCCCAAAATTAAAAAAAAAAACATTCTGAAGAGCTACTGCTTCATCCACTGTCATCCATCTACAGCTTCCTAGTTGAAGAATCGCAAAATCAGAAACTCAGCCCAGATGGATGATTTTCAACAGAGATTATATATATATAAAAAAAAAAAGAAAGAAAGAAAAGAGAAGAAGAAGAAGAGGCCAAAGCAATAGCTTACAAATCAATCGGGTGTATAAAAACTTTCTCCAATTGATGATTTTCAATAGAGATCAATCTTTATAACAGACTTACAGTAGCTTGAATTTTGGGCGTTTCAAAATTAGGGATGGCAATGGGTCGGATCTGGACCGAGTGTGGATGGACCCAGATCCAGATCTGTTTATGTATATAGGATCCAGATCCGACCCGGATCCGTCGGGTCTAAAAAATGAAGACCCGGAACCGGATCCGGATCCGGAACGGGTCCAATATATTTTGCCTAATTTTTTGCAATAAATGTAATGTTTGGGTCAAAAAATTTATTTCAAACTTACGTTGTTGGTTATTAAGTTCAACCCCAAATTAACCAACTTATACACTCATATTTTGAATTAAAAAAAATACGATGTTACATATGAGCTATTGAAAAAACAACGATGATGTATATAATATGAGCATCCAAAATTCATCTCTTGAAGGGTTAGTCTTTATCATTACTAACATTATCAACATTTTTAATAAAGAAACAAACAATTTTAGTTTTTTTTAATAGGAAAAATAATTAAAAAAAAACGGGTCCACGGATCTGGATTCCGGGTCTAGGGCCCAGACTCAGATCCAGATCTGTTTTTGTCAGCAGGACCCGGATCCGTCGGGTCCAAAATTTAAAGACCCAGATCCGTGAAAAACGGATCTGGATCCACGGATCCGGGTCGGGTCCAGATCCATTGCCATCCCTATTCAAAATCAATAAAATCCTAATTTTTTACTCTAATTTCACCAATCAAACACTTACAAGCGAACAAAACCCATTAATTAAAATTCACTACTTTGCCACTCAAAAATCAAAAGCATAATCTTTACCTAGCATTAAAACCACTCTAATTGACACGCATAAACCCAAACTATATGCAACCATTAATCCAAATCCACAAATTTACCTCTCGAAAACCAGCTTACCGAATCCATGATTCAAAAATGACCAAATATCCCAAACACATCAAAACCCATTATGAAAAATTCTGAAATCAACAACATTTACCCACAATCCAACATCGCTCACATATAGCAGCAACATACAACATCACAAGCGCAAATAATTTGACAAAACAACAACAAATCACCATTTCAATTTCGTTATTAACCCACAAAACCAAAAACCCTAAATCGCAACAAATCGATAATCAATCGCCAAAAAAATCGATTTTTTTAACAAATTAACAACTACAAGGCTCAAGGCTGCGTAATCAAACATACCTCAAAAAATGGTTGCGATTCTTGTCATTTTCCCCAAATTTGGCCAAAATCGAGCTTGTGTTCTTCACCAACCTCCGCGACAAATTTTTTCAGAAAAGGCAAGAATAAAGGAATATGAAAAGGGGAAAGGGAGAAAGCAACCCATGGTTTTTTTTGGGTGCCCCCCATGACTTAATCCAAGGTACTCGATTTTTAACTAAGGGTACCCAATTATTTGGGTGATTTAATTTTTTTTCACCGAAAAATGGGTCAAGTATCCAAAGGATGAAAAAAAAAAATTGAATATCTAAAAGGTGAAAAAATCAAGAATTGAGGGCCCAATTATTGTCTTTTAACTACTAAAAATAGAGTATACCAAAATATCTCCTCCCAAATTTCCCACCCTCCCAAAATATCAGCTTAGCTAACTCGCGAAAAACAGAAACAGCAAAGTCAGTTAAGATTTAAGAACAGAAATTACGCCGGAGATTTCAATTTCCCGATGATTCATCGCCGGAAACCCTAAAAATCCGATCAGATTCACAGAAATGAGCCGTAAATCAGTCAACCAACGAGGAAAAATCGATCGAGTTACGACAACGACGACGACGATGAGAGTGAAAAAGGCGGGGAAGAGATTATTGAAGTACGATGAATTGCCGGATTATATGAAAGATAACGATTTCATCTTAGATTATTATCGTTGTGAATGGCCATTGAAAGATACATTTCTCAGCGTTTTTTGTTGGCATAATGAAACGCTCAACATTTGGACGTCAGTAATTTTGTTAATTTCGTCATTTTTGTTTTCAATTCAATTGTTCATTGTTAATTTTTGATTGTTTTATTTGTGTATTATGATGTGAAATAGGCATTTGGGAGGGTTTTTGATATTCGCGGCGATGGCGGTGGCGACATTGATGGAGAGCTCAAAGGGTGATGGAGCTTTTTCCAATTTTTTTAGGTATTTTTTTATTTTTATTTTATTTTCTTTATTGGAAGTTGAATAAAGTGTTCATTTTTATAATTTAAGTTGTTCTATGTTCTTTGAGGTGAAAGAAGCTTGAGAAGTTTATAATAAGTGCTTAAATGGTTAGTTAGTTGCTTGAAATTTTTACTTTTTTGAGTGCTGTAGTTTGATCGGCACATATGTCATATGTTAATGCGGAACTTTGACTAATGATATCTTTACGGGTCTTTTAGATAGATAGAATTATATGTTTTTGTCAAAACTAAAACTAGTGTTTTATTGGCCTATGATTGCACTAAGGTTTCTTACTATTTTGAAGCAAGGATATGGGGGAAACAAGTACAAATTAACACCTAGTGATTAGAGGAAACTTTGAAATAGGTTTGTTGTAAATCTTTATTGCCTAAGGGTGTCTAATTTGATGCTGGCCTTTTAATCAAACATTAATAATGTAATCTTCATGTACTTGGAAATTATAATTTTGAGATAGGTGTATAAGATTGTATTCATATTCAACAAAAGAAAAACACAGGGTTTTTAGTCTTTGACTTGTCTTCCTTAATGCAAAAATAACAATAAGATGTATATCAAAACGAAACTAATCTCTCACGACTCACTGCTACATTTTTCTTCTGTCCTTTCCTTCCTTCACTCCTTACTCTCTTTTGATCAAATAATCTAGTTTTGCGCTATTTAGGATATTTTCGACTTGCATGTTTCCATTATTAAGCTGGCGGTGAGTTGATTATGTGTGGTTCTATCGTTCAGCAGTGGTGAATCTATATTTACTTTGCCTCCTTTCACATCCTCTCCCTTTCTTTGACCCTCTACTTCTTTCTTAAATGCTGACAAAACAAGCTAGCCTATATGCCAAATTCCACCAAGCAACTTATGGTACTATTCCTAGACACATTCTATCTTCAAAAGGCTGTATCAATTGACAAATCAACCAAAATCAAACCCTTAAAGATAAAATTATAGCAGACATCATTCATTGTAATTTGGGGGAAATCTTGAGTAGCTATATATCAACAATTTTTTTACCATGAGAACTCGTCACCTCATCTCAATCCAAGTTGTTTATAAGGAGATTAAAAATGGTGCAAGGATAGTTTTTGAGTGGTAACTGGTAAGTCTACAGTTAGGAATTGAAGGAAAAGTTATAAGCCTTTTTACAACTTATAACAACAAATTATGAAACAAGATCATGATACATATTAATTGACCAGATAGAGGACAAGAGAAAGAATGATGTACTTATCAGGTATGTACAGATGTATCCGCATAATACATTTAGAGATAAACTCTTAGAACTCTAACTATGGGATGGGAAATACGTACTGCTGATTTAGTTGCCATTTTTTGGAGAAGAATGCCTACTAATTGATTATCATGATTTATCTATCATATGATTGTTGTAGGATAAAAAAAATTTGTTCCCTTTGGCTTAATTAACGTATTTGTCTTATTTTTATTAATGTTTAGTCTAAAAAATTATGATTAAATGTTGACCATATATTTACATTTTTGTACAAGAAAATACATTATCAAGTGAAATTCTATTATATGTCACAATGTGTATGATTCAGATAACTAATTTTCATATTATTTTACCAATACAATTTGGGATACTTAGTATTAATTAAATAAAAATAAAAGCATTTGGACTAATTCTTTCTGGTGTAGTTTGATACATTCTGATTATAGCTAAAATATGTAATAAGTTTTTGAAGTGAGATGAAGAGAACAAAATCAGCATGTCCAGTTTAAAAAAATGTACGATAGAATCTAAATCTTTGTCGGCCCAGGACTACTTTCATTGCAACACCATTGATGACAATGTTGACAATGAATTGGAGCAATGGCCCGAGAAATATGACTCAGGTGAGTTTCACTTATTTCTGCTTCCATTTTTGTATATTGTATATATATATATATCAATGTGTCATTTTCATTTTTGAGTGAACTCGGTTCAAAGTAAGGTCTTGTACAATATGAATTAAATTGAATCATTAAGGTCAAGTTAATTTGTTTCAACTCAATATTTTCATGCTTATAAAGAAAAGAGACATTGAGTAGATAGATTAACGTTCGTTTCAACTCAAAGTTTTTCTGAGGAACTGATTTTGACACTCTTTAGTTTGATTCTGACATTCTTTCTTTGGAGTAGAGCATTAAAAACTGTGCTCTCACAATGGGAGTGCCCAAATAGTTTCCCTTTTATTCCTAGACTAGATAATTCCCTTAGACTCGTCAAAGAAATAATGAAGATCACTATTGCTATTGATACTTACTTATAATTGATAGATACACATCGATCTAGAAATTGTCTTCATTTATATAAAAAAAGAAGCTCCATGTTATGTAATGCGACAAAAGGCTGAACCAAGTGTCATTTCAAGGTCAATGGTCATGTCTTTTGCACATTGGCCGAGCATTGTGTTTTGGTTTTATCATTAGCACTTACACTATATGGAGCCTAGAAACAGTGTAACTTTGGATTGAAATAGAGTTATTGATTCCCCTAGGTGCAGGGAGCCAGGGAAGCCTTAAGCATTAAGTCAATATACCTCTGAGGCTCTGAGTGAATATATTGATTCTACTGTAATGTAAATACTTGAACAGAGCAATCTTCCAAACTCTTCAAGAGAATACATCAGCCAAAGAAAACAGGCCAAAAGCAAAACTAGTTCTAGTACAAGTTTAAAAATTCATAGTGGCATTTGTATTTGGTTAAGTCTTGAACTGAACTCATGGTAATGCTTATTTCTCCTGACTTCTGCAGGGTGGACATCATAGGAACTTCTCTGAGTCCTCACTGTTGGACACCAGCGCAGAAGGCACTGAACTCATACCAATGTGGCCTTGGTTTGTCTTTCTAGCAGGGGCTATGTGTTGCTTGGTTTTCAGCTCTGTCTCTCATCTCCTTGCCTGCCATTCAAAGCGCCTGACCCGCTTCTTCTGGAGTCTTGACTATGCCGGCATCTCAGTCATGATAGTCTGCTCTTTCTACGCCCCAGTTTACTACTGCTTCTATTGCCAGCCTTTGTTTAGCCTTTTATATCTCACTTCCATCACCATTCTTGGTATTCTTGCTATCATTACTCTCTTCACTCCCTCTCTCGCCCAACCTCGTTTCCGTGCTTTTAGGGCCTGCCTCTTTCTTGGAATGGGTTTCTCTGGGGTGATTCCTTCGGTTCATGCAGCTGTACTTCATTGGGATCATCCACAGCTGTTAGTAGCCCTTGGGTATGAGGTTCTTATGGGTATCTTATATGCCACCGGAGCTTGGTTTTATGTCAGTAGGGTTCCTGAACGATGGAAACCAGGTTTCTTTGATATTGCAGGACACAGTCACCAGATCTTTCATGTGTTTGTTGTCGGAGCAGCTCTCACTCATACCGCAGCCATTATGATACTTCTGCACTGGCGACAGGGCATGTCTACTTGTTTTTAGTTTGCAAACAACAGATAACAGCAGCAAAAATTCAGCTGTTTGGATTGTAATCAGGAACTTGTAGCAGACACACATTCTTTAAAGGATGGTGATAGAAGTACTAAATCAATTGTCACTCAAGTTTGTAAAGTAAAGGCGGAAAAGGAAATGTTGGTAGAAGCTCCATTACTAACTGGTATATACAGCTAAACAAGCTTATTGCTTCTCAGAAACCTTATTATATTGTGTAAATCTTTAATTGATTCTTGAAGAGGAGGATAATGATAAATACTTTTGTTTCAAGAAACATCAATTAGCTATAGGTAAATTTCGTGCTTCAATTTTTAGTGTATGAATAATGTAACACTCTGAGCTGAATGCAAGTATCATAGATATATATATATATACGAAGTATTTGATTGCAGAAAACGTTCTGTTCAATAAAAAGTACAGCATTGCATATTAACACTGTTAAAAAGTCTTTTACAAAAGGGCCTTCAGCCACACCCTAAGGCTGAAAAGGAAAAAATAAATGCAAAATTGCCAAAAAAAAAAAAAAAAGAAAAAAAGAAAGAAAGAAAAGAAAAAAACTCTTTCCCAGCTCTATCTTATTCTCTACTTGTACATTAAACAATTTCTATCAACAAAATATTACACAAATTGCACTACATTGGATTATTTGTATTGTCTAGCATAAAAATGGAGCAGTACATTGTGCCATGGTATGGTTGAACCTCCATTGCAAGCATGCTCGTGAACTTGAAACACTTGGTATACACTACTTCCAAGTATAAACCAAAAGCACCTGTATTATGTATGCTTTGCATAACCAAGTCAGATCTGAACCAAAAGCATACTGCTTTTCAAAATATGCTTCTATTGCTCACTTGTTAGACTGCTGCTGCACATCACGGGGTGGCAAAATGTGTTTGCAGAATTCTCTCTATCAACAAAACTATCTTGTTAACTAATTACCTCAACAATTTCAACGTCATTATCACTGTAATCTCCCCAACATTTACTCGATTTTTTCTCAACTATGGTATGCTCATTTCCTGCTTCGGCAGCCACATCAACATCATCAGATGGAGCTGCTTTTGCAACAGGAAACTCTTTAGTCCCAGTTTTACCATTTACAGCTTCAGGTTTTTCTTCCCCTACTAGCTTATTCGAGGCAGCTGTTTCTAATAAAGGGTTCCCAGAATTTTCTTCAGTCACAACCTGATCATCGTTTTCAGCAGCAGTTTCAAACGAAGTTTTCTCTAATATTTCTTCAGTCACAACCCGATCATTGATTTCAGTAGCAGTTTCTGACGAAGAGGTCTCCAACTTTTCTTTAGTGGCAAGACTTGCAATCTGGTTGCTTTCAGCATCAGTTACTGATGAAGATTTTTCCGATTTTCCTTCAGTCACAACCTGATCAGTGTTTTCAACAGCAGTTTCAACCGGTGCAGCATCAGTGGACTCTGAAGAACCATTAGGAGATCCAGGGAACCCATTTTGAGCCTCTGGAATGCCATTTAAGGAGGGAAGGTAAGTATTAGGCGATGCAGCAACACCATTTGGAGGCATAGTAGCATAACCACTTGGAGACACTGGCATCCCATTTGACGGACCCATATAACCATTTGGGCTTACAGGGTATCCATTTGGAAGCCATGACGGAATAGGAACAAACTCCGCCGCATGTGGGTTCATTATTAAAGGAGGATTGAAGTGGTTTACATCGCCAATATGTTCTCCATTGTGAATTCCAGGTTTTAGGCGGTTCCCCCTGTTCCCAGACCTGTTATAATTCCCAGATAACCGTGGGCCATAAGGTACTCTGGCAGTAGCTGATTGATGGGGTGATCTACGGACAGGATTAACAGCCATAATAGGTGTTATATTTACTGGTGGGGGTAGTATACCACCATGATCTTTGAAACCTTGAACTGGCACAGACCCAAAAACTGGTACAGTCGATGGAGTATAAGGAGGGGCTGATGCAGAAAGTTTCTTGGTTGATTCCTTCCCACTTTCTTCTCCTTCCTGCTTCTCCCCTTCTGTTGGAGAAGGAATTCCATCGCTTTCTACTGTTAATTCAGCGCTGACTCCACTTGAAAGAGGCTGAGGGTCAGATGAACCTGCTGCCTCTGTTTCTGAGACTTGTGTTTTTTCTGTGTCTCTGTTTTCCAAAATTTCATCTTTCAGATCTGAGGTCAATACAGTACTCAAATTTCCATCTTCAGCACTTGTTTGGACCTGAGTCTCTGCATCCTTGATCGTACCGGTCTTAACTTCACTTGGCAGTACCTTTTCTAGGCCATCTCCAGATTTTCTTTCTTCATTACTGGTAGTTTCTTCCACTTTCTCATCCTTAGGCCTCTGAGCTGTCTCTTCATCAGTAACCTCAACTGATGCTTTTTCTTCAGATTGAGTTGATTCTGGACCAGTGATATCCTCCTTGGTTGATTGTTCTGCAACTGCCTTAACTATTGTTCCAGGTGGGGCAAGAGCAACTTCTTTATACGAGAAAAGTTTTCCACCAGTGTGAATATTAATTGAACTTGCAAGAGGAGGTGACTTGGGAACTTGCTCAACCAAAGCTGGACTAGCTGGTGCAGGCTTGGTATTTACCACTTTCTCAGTTGCAGCAACGGAGGTAGCCGTGTTATTTTGCTTTGGACTAAAGCTTGTACTCTTGGTAAATTTTTTGGGGACTGATGGACTTATAACAGAAGACTCATTTGATGGAGTTTTCGTGGATGTAAAATTTGCACCCTTCCCTCGAAATCGAGAGTGTTGTTGGTTCACAAAATTTGTATTGAGTTTTGCTAAGCTTGGCCTCCGTGAAGTAGAAGGCTTGCGGCTTGTAGTTGACCGGCTTTTAGGAACAGCTTCTTGCCATCCTTCATCTGAAGTGTCATCTTGTGACTGATCATCATTCAAGATGGTGACGGTTTGTACACTCAGATTGTCCTCTTTTTCATGTTCAGGCTCAGGAAGATTAGGTTCGGATTTATTTTCCTTGTCATTGCTGCTCTCAGCTTGATATATGGGTGATATGTTTTCATCTTTGGGTGACTCATCTTCAACTGTTTCCCAGGTTTGCCCAGTTTTGCTCTTTACCTGTAAGTTTATTGTGCACTCTATCAGTATCTAGCGTTAATACATAATCAATTTTGGTAGGAACAAATAGTACAATCATCACCTTTGCACGAGCTTGTTTCCTTTGGGCTTCTCTCGCTCTTAATTCTGCTTCTGGGGTTATATAGTCCAGAAGATCTGATACACTGTTTTGAAATTCATAAACCCAAATATAATACTTTAGATTAAAGATAAGCCTCAAAATAATCTGTCAATACAAATAGTCCATTTCTGGAAGTCATACTCAAACTTTCTATGGCCCGTGAGAATACCGTATACTCCCTTCCAATGTTAATAGGCCAGATTTAATTCAAAGATATTTTTAAAATACTGAGTTGAAATTCCATATATATTCTTCTCGATTAAAGTTTTTATGTATTCACCAGACCACAAGTAGTATGAGCAGGTCCGCAGGTTAAAAGTTTAACTTGCTAAAATTAGAAAGAGCCTTACTATTTGGGACGTACCAAAATATAGACCTAGCCTATTATTAAGGGATATATTCATGGAGGGAGTATCAGATTTAGTAATAAAGGGCGATAGCATTAAACTGAAAACAAATTGCTAATCATTCTTCATCAATTTAAATTTGGTAGGAGACGAACGATGAAAGACTTATGCACTTATTATGCTATTAGATTTGAGATAAGATATTGGAAAGTTAGGAATCGTTGAAATTTTGAATACCTCAGGTGGCCTTTGCTAGAAATGGAGGCATCAGGCTTTGGGGTGCCATTACGAGCAGCTTCCTGCTGCTCTAGCGCCTTGGATTCAAAATATTCAAGCCATGCAGCAGCATCCTACAAAATATCTATGGATTGAGTCTACGCTCTGAGGGCTGTAATGACAAATCTTAAAGATTTCAAATATATTTACCTGAGTTCGTAGGTCTTCTGATCCAAGTTTTGCCTGCAGAATTTGTAGTGTGGTCTGCTCGTGCTGGACACTTAAGGAGTAAGCCTCCATCAAAGAAAGAGCAATAGCAATGGCATGATAACTCGCTGCAGTCTGCATGACAGAGATGGAAACAAGGTTTAAAATATGTTTGAGTACAAGATGAGTTGAGTCTGTTGACTGAAGAATAATAATTGAAACAAGAAGAGGGAGATGAGAAAGAAGACCTGGATATGATCAGCTCCAAGCAGTCTCTGGTTACATTTTAGAGCCTCATGAAGATATCTCAATGCAACATGAACATTCCCCAAACCTTCTTCCATCATTGCCACATTAATATATGTGGCAGCAGTGTTTGGATGTGAAGGACCACAGGTTAGATGCAATAGATATAGTGCACGATTGACATATCTGGATCAGCAAAATATGATGAACAGTTAGGTGTATTCAGCAACTAACCACCATAATTTGAAGCACTACATCCAACAAGGGCTACTGTGTGTTGCAGGTATGCATCAGGTCAGCAGAGGTGGTGTGCAGAGTGTGTAGAAGCTACTGCTGCCAGCTTTGGTGTAAGGATTGTGAAAAAGGACTGGGTTCAAGAATTATTTAGAGAGCCATGCAGTGAATGTAGTGCAAGTAATTCACAATGGTTGTAAGGGTCACTCCTTTAGCCTTTTTTACAATTATGTTAGTAAAGATAGGCTACACTTTGATTTGTTAGTTCTCATGTGAAAAGGGTGTGGAATGCTAAATACGGTAGCCCACCTAGTGGAAAAATGGGACGTTAGTATTAACTTGGTACAAGTGAATCTCCCCAAAGTGACGTATTTGGTGGAGCTTAACAATATTTCCATTAGGAGGGAAAAAAATTATCACAGTTGTGTTCAGCATTCTTTTTGCTAAAAATTTCAGAGTAATAACTAATCTCCTTTTCTCATCTATATCTATATCTATACTTCTTATATACTTGGATTTAAAAACACAAACCATCATCCCCATTATGCCACATGTAAATATTATTTTAATTTTTCATCAATGCCACATGTCACTTCATTTAACCTTTTTTTTTTAATTCCCATTATCATATTAAAAAACACACACACACACACACACACACACTAGCTTAATTCAATACATGTATGAATGTTGTTTGGTTCACTTTCCTTCAACTTATTATCTTTTATAATTACCTTTAATTTTCACCCCTTCTCCTTTATAAACTATTCATTTTCCAATAAAAATATATTATAAAATAAAAACTTATATTGCATACCTATAAACAACCCGTGCATTGAAATTAATCTAGAGTTTGAACATCGCAGAAACTGCAGCCAATGTAAAAGTTCTCTAGC